GTTTTTTTTTTTTTTTTTTTTTTTTTTTTTTTTTTTTTGTTCACTGATTTGGTTGGCATCCGTTTAGCATTATTCTTGAGGATTTCAGCTCTCCCGGGGCACATGTTTGGCTCGTTTTTTTTCAGTCCTCTTTTTTCGGCGCACCATTTAAGCGGCGCCACAAACACAAATGCTATTGTTATATGGGGCAGTTCGCAAGGGCAGTTTTAACGCGGACAGTTAAAACATGAGCATGTGCATGTGGTGGTGGCAACTCGTCGGGGGCTGGTTGGCTGCACGGGTTGGCGAGCCCGCTCCTTTGTTCTGTTCTGACTAAAAATAAGGGCCTGTTGAGAGAAGGGTGCACTGAAAAGCTGCGCATGCATCCCACGCCTAATTAACAACTTCTGCAGAAAAATCCTATGGGCCTCAGCGCATACCATCCGGTGCATGAGTGCCTTTGTTTGTGGGCGCAACCGCGTAGATCAAAATCAGCGGCTTCAAAAAAAATAAAATAAATAAATATATATATATATATATATACTTTTTGTTCGCATGTGTTTTTGCTTTTGCGCATCTTATACGAATGTTACACTTAATATTTTACTTTATTTTATTCTGCTTTATTTTATTTTAATTTTTTTTTTTTTTTCTGTTAGTTCTCCTTTGCGGAGGCATTTTCAATGGTGTTGTTGCACTGTACACAGCTTTTTACTCCCCTTTGGTTGTCGCCCATCAGAGGGTCGCGCATACTTTTTGTGATCACCCGCGCGAGTGGCAAAGGGGAAGAAGGGGTTGTTGGCTTGACCACATCAGATATATTATTTCGCTGTGCAACCATGTAGATTTTTTTTTTCTCTCAAATTCGATTTTTTTTTTTTTTTTTTTTTTTTTTTTTTTCACTGATTTGGTTGGCATCCGTTTAGCATTATTCTTGAGGATTTCAGCTCTCCCGGGGCACATGTTTGGCTCGTTTTTTTTCAGTCCTCTTTTTTCGGCGCACCATTTAAGCGGCGCCACAAACACAAATGCTATTGTTATATGGGGCAGTTCGCAAGGGCAGTTTTAACGCGGACAGTTAAAACATGAGCATGTGCATGTGGTGGTGGCAACTCGTCGGGGGCTGGTTGGCTGCACGGGTTGGCGAGCCCGCTCCTTTGTTCTGTTCTGACTAAAAATAAGGGCCTGTTGAGAGAAGGGTGCACTGAAAAGCTGCGCATGCATCCCACGCCT